TTTTGTATTATTTCCATTAGATTGATCTCCAATTAATTCATCAACAGAGTGGATAAGAATGGTTGAGTGTAGGGTGGTTAATTACATTTGCGTGCTTGTCTTAAAGTTATTCATGAAAGCACTAACCAGAAGGATAATAACTTAACTTTTTATAAAATACTATACCTACCATTCTCAACAATGAAAATAAAATGTTAATAATAAATATAAAACTTATAATAAAAATTTTAATGCATAGGTAATTGTATTTTTTAGTTATGACTTTGTAAGAAATGAAAACAAATTAAGTTAAATTCTTTTAATTACTAAGTTCAATTCTTTTAATTATGTCAAATTACTAAGGCTATATTTGTCTCTCACAATTACTATTATAGAGAGAAATGGTGACTATAGTAAAGAAGTTTATTTATATTTTTAAAGATTTTTATCCTAATATATATATAGTTGGTAATAATAGTATGTAATCGGTAAATTTATATATATGTATCTTGTATATTTAATCTAGGGAAAAGTGTAAAAAAACCTCATTGAACTATTGCATTTTGCAAATAATTCCCTTGAACTAAAAATTATTCCCCTAAACTACTTAATTGTTTCAATTAAGGACAAACCCATTGCAAAAGAATATTTTATCATTTCTCATTAAATTTATCATTTCTTATTAAATTATTTTTATTATCTTTTCTCTTATCTAAATATTAATTATCTTAATTTTGTTATTATTATCAATTTATCATATAAATGAAAGAAAAAACAAAAGATTTGTAACTACCATTTTCTAAAATGATTAACTTATTAATAAAATTTTATTATTTATAATAAAACTTATTATACCCAATTTAAACTTCTTTACCGTAGAAAAAGATCCTTTTTTTTTTTTCCATACAATATATTGACGAAAAATTAATAAATTACGTAAAAAAAAAAAAAATACCTTCTTTTTCTATAATATATTCATGAAAAATTAAAAAAATTATTAAATTGTTTTAAAAATTGTTACTTAAGATTTTTATTTAAACAATTAATTTCAAAACTTAAAGGTAAATTTATACAAATTTAATGGAGAATATGTGATCAAATTAGTATGAATTTTTTCATAATTTATTTCAATAAGAAAAATAGATTAAGTGTAATTCCATAAGAAAGGACATTATGGTTATTTAATAGAATATAATCTATGCATTTGAGCATTTTACAACAAAATGTGTTAGTTCAGGTGGTGTTATGCATAAAATATTGTCTAGGGGGGTTATTTGCAAATTCAAACATAGTTTTTTGCCTCCCCTCCCGCTCCCCTTATAGTTTGTTGATAAAGAATGAAGCAAAGAGTAGTGAGGGTTGGTTTGGTCTAAATAAAATAATTTATGAAGGTAGAAAATGGTAATTCATGGTTCAAATAAGTCAACTAACAAGTCAAAGGACAATAATGTCAATTCAAAGTGACAAGAGACAATTGAGAGTGTCTTTGATAACTTTATCAAATTTGAGGAGTGACATTATTGGGTGTGAGTGTAATTTACCCAAATAGTTTTGTGGACCAATTATGTTAATTCGACTACAATATAAAGGCAAAAATAAAATAAGAACAAACCCTGAAGGCATCAAACATATTACCAAATTCATTTGCAAATTTGGACATATGGAATAGTTGCATGTTTTAAATATTCAATTAAACTTAGTCGCATTTATAAGATTTTATTATTATTTTTTTACTTTTTATTTTTTGCATTGTTACATAACCTGGATTTTTTTTTTCTTAGTTGGTACTCATATACCCATACCTTCATGAAGGCTTGAACCCTGACTTTCTTTTGAGAAATAGGCCCTGATATCGCTAGGTTACTGCAGAAAACAGTACCCCTAAAGTATGCTTACAGTACATAGTACACCCTTCATATGCAAAAAAAACGCCTAAAGTTTCAATTTGGTGCAAATAGGTCCCTCTGACAAATTTAAATTCTAAGTTGACTAAATTACCCTTATTGAACAATTTTATAAAATATATAAAAATAAATAATTTTGTAAAATAACCGAAAATGACACTATGGAAGGATGCCCCTCTCATGCAAAAAACACCTCTAAAGTTTCAATCTGGTGTAAATATATAGGTCTCTCTGACAAATTTAAACCCTAATTAAATTGACTAAATTACCCTTATTGAACCATTTTATAAGATATATAAAAATAAATAATTTTATAAAATGATTGAAAATGACACTATTGGAGGACGCCGACAATGGACAAGTAAAGAAAAAATAAAAAATAAAAATAAAAGTATAAAAGAAAAGTAAAGATAAAAATAAAAAATAAAAAACAAAAATAAAGTGCAAACTAAAGAAACCAAATTTTTCTAAACTCCGAAAACTAGTGCACATTGATATTAGGATTTTTTTTTTTTTTTTTTTTTTAACAATGTTGGTATGAAGAAAAAATAAAGAAAAAAAAATTTTAGTAGAAAAGAGTAAATTGGAATTTCAAAAAATTTAAATCTATTTTACAAATTCTCAAAGTTAAAAAAAAAAAATAATGTTTAGAGATATATATAGAGAAAAATGTTTTTTTTTAAATATAAGGTAATGTGCATATAACACCTTCATACTATGAGATTAGTAGCATATATACTTCCTTGGATATTTTCGGAAGAGTGACGGGACAAAACGGATATTACAACACTAATTTATGTTAGAAGAAATATTTTTGCATAATGTAAAAAGATTAGGGATGTTTTTTACATACTTTTTCAAATAGAGGATAGAAATATTATGCAAAGTAGACTTTATGAGTATTTTATGCACTTGTCCTTTAAATATTATAATAAGTTTGCTTGTCTATTTACATAATATATAGTCAATTAATATGATAATACATTACGTGAATAAATTATCTATATTCAATAAATAAACACTTGGAAGACACTCTCGCTTCGATTTTTCAATTTTTTATTTTTAAATTTCATTCATAAATAGTAATTTTGTGATATGCTTCATAATCTTCTTGGTAATTTTTATTTGTATTATATTTTTTTTATTTAATTCTCGCATGTTACATATAGTATGAATTATAACTTTTTTCATCCTTAAATCTTTTTTTATTCTTTAATTTAGTAAGAACTGTAGTTACGAAGGTAACAATAGCGAATTAGAATTCGCAATAAGGTCACTCTATTTGTGTTCAGTTGTCTTCAAAAAATTAAATAAAAATGACTAAAATTGATTTAAAATATATTTTATTAAATTATGTTGTAAAAAATTACGTATTGACATATTTTAGATCTATCATGCTGTGTTAAAAAACAAAATGCATAATAATCAATTTCGATAGGTTACATATGTGTCTCGATTGATTGGTGTCAACATCTACGCTCAAGTCTACCATATTCATAATCGGGTGTCCCACATATATTCTATCGAATACGTATCAAACACTGTCACGAGAGAGAATTCCTGTCCTAATTTATGCCACTCGTTTGTACTAGATCACCAGTTACACTATGCTTCTGAGTTTTGTGTCGTTTGTACTAGATCACCAGTTACACTATGCTTCTGAGTTTTGTTTAAGCGCAAGAAGGGCCAAAAAAAAAAAATCAAAAAAATCAGAAGATCACCGCAATTGATCTGAAATAAGTGAGAAACAGTTAATGTCTTGGAGTAACATGAATTTTTTGTCACAACAAAACTAATTAAATCATCAATTTATTTATTTATTCTTATTATTTTTTGGTCAACGAAAAAGAACACAATAATAGGAGTGTAGGCACCGAATAGATATTTGAATAAAAGGCCATATATATATATAGACGTAAGACTTTGAGTTGGATTGATAATGACTGAACGAGTGACCTTTGGAAAAGTAGATATATGTCCAAATTGCACGGACTTCGGAGCTGAAAATCGCAATTGTAACAGTATTTATAAAACGCACATATATTATAAAACGCACATGTAATTAATGGTGGAAATAGATGGATAATTATGTTCAAGACTTTAGAGCTTATCTTAACATAGCAAACTTATTGAAAAAGACTTGAAACATAGCAAACTTAACCCTAACGGCGCGACATTTTAGCCCCCATTAACTCCTGGGCTTAAAATGTGTCATTAACCTGTTCCTCATATTTGTTCCACATCAATTGAACACACACACACACACACACACACACATATATATATATATATATATATATTAAAGAAAATTTGACAATAAAAATTTTGCACAATAATTAAAACGTGAAAATACACACCCTAAACGTGCAACGTTAGCACCATTTTATTCCCCGTCAATTAAACATCACGAGCAATATTCACAGTACAATATTCACAATTTCAATTGTCGAACTTTGTTTAGATGCTTTCGATTCCACCATTATTTTGAAATGAATTGGTCCTCACTTTAATGCATTCCAAGGCTGAGATGCATTGGGCACACCATACGTTACCATTGGAATGTAGGTCCTTATGTAATAAAATTTACAATTTCACATTAGAATCATTGTATATTTTTGTGTGTGTGAAACGTGGCAAAATACATCATAACTACGTGACGTTAATTAACCCATTAACTTGTTACATCATATTTGTTCCACATGAATTCTACATCACTATATATATATATATATATAAAACAAAATTCGACAATGAACCTGATGCACAATAATTAAAATGCGAAAATATGCACCTAAATTGTAAAATGTTAGGTTCATTTTATTCCCCATCAATTAAATATCATGTACAATATTCACAGAGATGCTTTCGAATTCACCATTATTTTGGAATGGATGACCCTCACTTGAATGCATTCCATGGCTGAGCTGCATTGGGCCCATCATTACCATCAGAATGCTAGGTGCAAAATTCACATGAGAATCGTCGTACTTTATTATGAAGTTAATCTTGTTGACTTTTGTGCCTCATAGGTCTCATTTGGACCACGCACAAATGCACAATGCTTCTTCTATATAAGAGAATAACATATATGAGCTCACTCACTCACTCACCCCTCCTCTTCCTCATCTCTCTCACTCTCTCACACACCCACACACAAAAGATGTCTAGTGTGAAAGAACTAGTAGAAAGAGGCTGCCTCACATCCATTCCATCCAAGTTTGTTTTGGCGCAGAATACCAATGATCTCATGCTTTTAGGAGGAGGAGGAGAAGAAGAAATCCCCGTTGTCGACTTTTCCCACTTTTCAGGAAGTGCAAAACAACAGGCCAAAGTCATCCAAGACATTGGCTATGCATGCCAACAATGGGGATTCTTTATGGTAAGAATTTTGACAGCTACATATATATATATATATATATATATATATATATCAGCTTCAACTCATGAATTGCTTTCATTTCTATATACTAATTTTTTTTTTTGAAAGGTGCACTTTCAAAATGAGAAATAACTGGTTTTGTTTGGGGGGAGAGAGAGAGTTTCTATATACTATATTGTTATATGAACTTGTTGCCACAAATTAACACAAACAAACTACAAACACAATGAAACGATATAAAAATGTGTAAACTCTGTGCCATATAATATACCCTAACACGTACCCTACTCCAACCCATGAAAAACAATAAAAATTTAATACTGCACCTATTATATAGTATTCTGACTAATGAAAACTTTCAGATACCTTACCCAAAAAAAAAAAAAAAAACTTTCCGATACTCTTAATAACAGAAGACAACAATTTCTCATTTTTCTGGGAATGCTATATTTTCGATATCCATGGAGTTATGTTATTTATTTTAAAGAATGATCATTTTATCAAGAAATATTTTGTATCCATACAAAAGTTTTTCACACGTCATGTATCATTTTGTTACATGAATTAGTTAATAATTAATTCAATCAAAGTACTTTATATATATATATTTTTATCACAAGGCAAGAAGGGTTATAAGTTAAATTAGAAAGTACAAAGAGTCGAAACCTAGCACTCCCAAAATCTACCAGAGATATTAATCACTGGACTATCGAGACATTTGCAATCAAAGTAATCTATTGAATAAAGTTTTCATTATTTAAATTTATTGTATTAGTTTAAAACAATGTCCCATTTAATTTACTTAATTGAAAAGTTAGTATTGTGGGGAAATCCATCCACGTGAATAAGAAAAAATATCTGGTAAATAGTGAAAAGCAAAGAAAAAATGGTGGTGTTTTATGTAGACAACATGATTGTGTGTGGGTATAGGTCCAGCTCTGGTGGCGGGCTTCTTTTGGGCCTGTTGCTCGGGCTGTGGTTTAGGCCGAGGACTGAAACCTATACCCAAAGTTTACCAGGTTAGTTGTACTGGATCAAGTACTTCGTGATTCGACTCAAAAGTTTAAACTATTTGGAGGGACTCAACTCATTTATACTGATTATATTTTCCATCCTGCTTCGATGTGGGACAAGTCCCACTTATAACATTCTCTCTCACCCGAACTCGCACCGCCCTTGTTATGGTCGGACCACCTTGCCTACCTCCCACATCGAGGCTGGATCTGGCTCTGATACCCAGGAACTAACCTATAATGGGCTCAGTGGGTAATCGCTCCCACTGAAATTTTTTCTTTTTGCTATTATATCCACCTTCTTTTTTTTTTTTTTATTTTTTTTTATTTTTTTTTATTTTTTTTTTCAAATTATATACTTACAAATTTTTTAGTTTATCCCTATTGAAATTAAAAAAAAACTTCACTAGTGCCCCTCTCAACCCTTTTTTGTTAAAGATAGCCCCCTCTTATATATTATTCTGGGTCCGTCCTAAATACCGACTGTAACAAACAGGTCAAGTGTTTCGCATTTCAACCAAAAAACTTAAATTGTTAGGTGGGGCTAACACTCAACCTATTTATACCCATTACATTTTCCATTCGAATCTTACGTGGGACAAGTCTCACTTGAAACACTAACCCTCTATATAAGAATTTAAAAAATGAAGTTTGTGTAATATAAAATAATTAGTCTTATGTTAAATACCTTATAAATTTATATATATATATATATATATATATATATATATATATATTCTAAAATTTCATTGTATGCATCCTCATTCCTCAGCTAATCAACCATTGTATGCCAGAGAATCTGGTAGATGAGATGTTGAAAGTTGGTCAAACTTTTTTTGAACTATCAGAGGACGAAAAGATAGAGTACACTGGGAAACCACTGTTTGATCCTGTAAGGTATGGGACAAGCTTCAATGTTTCTGTGGATAAGACCTTTATTTTGGAGGGATTTTCTCAAGGTTCTTGTTCATCCGAACTTCAATGCTCCTTTGAAGCCTAGTAATTTCAGTATGCCCAGTGTGGCAGTGTCCCTTTTTGGGTCGCAATTTCACCATATTTATTTTTAAATTTTCACTTTCATGCACTTTTTTTTTTTGATGGAGTTTTCAGAAACTGTTGACCAATAACCCAATTGATGCTTCCACGAGCCCTCACCCATCTGTTTCTTGGCTGCAGAGAATTTTCACAAGAATACTGCAAAAGAGCCCGTGACATCGCCGGCGAATTGCTCAAAGGGATATCATCAAGCTTGGGATTGGAAGAAAACTACATAAATAAAGAAATGGAGGTTGAATTTGGGTTACAGCTCCTGCTTATGAATCTCTACCCACCTTGTCCACAGCCAGAAGTGGCTATGGGGATGCCTCCTCACTCGGACCATGGCCTATTGACCCTACTAGTACAAAATGAGGAAAATGGCTTTCAAGTGCTACACAATCATAAATGGGTTCCAATTAAACCCCTAGCCAATTCTATTCTTGTCAACACTGGCGACCATATGGAGGTACATGAGCATCTTTAGCCTTGTTTAATAAGTAATAAAATGATAACTAGTTCAGCTCTGAAACTAATTATCTGTTTCTTTTTATATGAGTGGGGATGATCTGTTTCTTTTTATATGAGTGGGGATGACATCATCCCCACCCACATACATGCAACTGGATTAGTCCGTGAGCCAGACTCTATAAGAGAACTCTAACAAGAATTGTGAAATGACCCCCTTTTTTTTTTTTGGAAAATGAAAAGAGAAATCAAGAATTTGCCATTAACAATCTATTGTTTTCATATTTCAGATACTGACTAATGGAAAATACAAGAGTGTGTTACACAGAGCAATGGTTAATAACAGAGCAACCAGAATATCCATAGGAACAGCAATTGGACCACCACTTGAGAGAATCGTACCCCCTGCCAAAGCCTTGGTGGATACTGAAATAAGTCCAGCAGCATACCGTGGAATCAAATATAGGGAGTACATAGAGCTTCAACAAAGCAATGAACTCAATGGTAAATCTTGCTTGGATCGAATCCGAGTTGACGTAAGTTAGTGATGCTTTGTATGTGTGTGTCACACACTTACAAATGTCTATCATAAAAGAAATTGTAACATGGTGTTGTGACGAATATTTTGAAACTATAGTTGACATGTAAACAAATGTGTCAGCTTTATTTAGGTTTTTTTTTTTTTTTTTAACTTGCGTCTAGTAATTCGTCGAGACTAATGGTCTTGTAACCACATAATAATTTCTCCTATTATAGGACTCGAATCAAATTGCTCACCTTTTCTCCTATTATGTCAGCGGTGAATGTGTTTGTGTATTTTATATGTTCAATTCAAAATGTCAATGTAACCTGTGTTATATTTCTTATTTGTTGTATGCTAAAAAGATGTAATTTTAATTGCCGTACCATTTTGCTCTTTAATTCCAAATTGTTTACGATTTCAGGCGTTGATTTTATATTTCCTAACGCAATATTACTCTATTAGCAAAATATTGATGTCCAAGAAAGTTTAGCCATATGGAATACCCTAATTTGATTATGATTACAAATTTTTGTTTATGTTCTCATTAAAGACAAATGAGAATTGATGTTGATAACAATGGCTCATCCCAGCATGTACCTTGACAAGTAAAATACTGCCAGGTGACCCAAACAATCCTAATTATAACTCTAAAGGGCTTAGAATACAATCTTAACAAAAACTTATCAAAAGAAAAAAGAAAAAAGAAAAAAAAGGGCCCTCTGAGGTGTATATATATATATATAATAAAAAAGAGCAGCTCCAAAATGTGATAGACCCGAATACAGATTCACCTTAGGATTGATTATCTGGATCAGGACTTTGACCACTTTTGAACATGCTTGGTAGCTTTCTTAGCCTGCAAATCCACCATTTTAGAAGAAAATTAAATGGAGTTTAGTATTAAGCAAATATGACTTTAAACAAAGGTCATAAATTGAAGTTTTTTGTTAATTTGTACCTCCCTTACCCAATCACACCGTATTGTTATGATGGCCAATATTATTGTTTGCACTGCAGTCCCGCCAAATATCATCCCACCCCAGATACCCTAATGTTCAAGTTGAAATAAATTAGACTTGTAAAAAATTATCAACACATAAAAAAGAGTACATTTTAAGTACATACAAAGCTCTTCTTAGTAAGAACTAAACTTACCTCAACACCAAAGCAAAAAACCCACTGCATAACACAACCAAGGGGTACCCCAATAAGGTAGGAGCAGCCCAAATTTATGTATGCAAACCACGCTTGCCATCCCGATCCCACGGCCACCCTGTAACAGTGGACAAACAAGGTCTAATAATTTCTATCAAACATTTTAAATATTGTACATTTTTATGTGAGATATAATTTTTGTAATTGGCTAATTTCAATGCCAAAACAAGTCTGATCGAGTTGTAATTTATATTTAAAATTCAAGATCGAGATCGACTGCGGAATTGAAAAGTTGTTCAAGTTTGATATACTGAGATCTACAAAAATAGTATGAACAACACTTTAGGAATATGAGTTAGAAGGTTAGGACACTTTTACAAAATCAAAATTTTTCCAAGTGTCAAGCCTTTACAGTTCTGGACTGGCCATCTTACTTTAGCCATATTCTTACGGTTCAAGAATCAAAAGAATTCTTCAAAATTTACTCTAGCCATCTCGAACCGGTTCAGTCTTTTTGGATCCGGTTCAAGAATCAAAAGAATTCTTCAAAATTTACTCTAGCCATCTCGAACCGGTTCAAGGCCTTCAGACAGTTTTGGTAACCTTTGTTTCCTGTTCTGATTATTCTTCCTATTTGATATAGAATTCTTTCCAAAAGTCCTATGCACGAAAATTACCTTCTCCAATGCATATGTAGGTCTTTGAAGAGTCTATATAAACCTTGATTTACATCTAGGTTTATACGGCTTTTGCATTACATCTTCTGATTCTTAAAAGGCCTATTTAAGAGATATTTTGCAGAAAATCAAATCTGATTTTTTTGTGTTTGTTTCTAGAACATACACATAAACACAAGAGTGATTTTAAGGTGTTGTTCAATTCCTGATTGTGTTCAAAGCTATTGAATATTGCATCTACAAGGATTAGTGAAAGCAAATCTACTTTTTCTACATCAAATTCAGATCTTGAGGAATAGGGGTGAAGCGATCACACTTTGAAAGCGTCAAAACATTCAAGGAGTGTTGTTTGATCTACCAGCAATCCTTTAACAGAGATCAAAAGTATGCCTGAGGTTAAGAGTTGTTGGATAGGACGTCGTAAAGCTAAAGGATTTTTTGTGATTAGTGTTTGGTAGAATGATAGGGTGTGAGCCTGAGCCAAAGTCCATTGTACATTGTTTCAAACATAGTGGATCGGTTTACTTTGGACTGCACAGTCCATGAGGTATTTTCCCACAACAGTTGGTCTATTCTACCAATTTAGATTTCCTCGTTAAAAATCCTAGTGTTATCTCTCAACTCTATTTGCTTTACTTTACTTTTATCTTGCATGTGATTAATTAATTAATTGCTAAAATTAAGTAAAGCTGATTAAAATAGAAAGATATAGATTTGTTTTTAAAATCTAAAACTTTCTAAATAAGTAATCGTCCACTGCATAAACTCACATTTTAATCATCGAACTATCGATTATCGAATTGATCACCTGAAAGAACTAGTTGAACACTATTGAGAAGTATAGTGAAGCCTAAGAGGTAAGCAAGTCGGTCGACTGCTTCAAGAACATCAGTGCTTGATGTGAAGATATACCCAATTTTGTCATATAATATCATTATAAGAGCGCAAAAGAAGATGCCTGTAATGACCAAGTTTTATTCAACCCGGTGCGTCAGTGATGACCCGAAAGTTAACCGGGTAACGGATCCTAAATGCTGAAGCGAAAGATAAACTAAGGTCTCTAGAGGTAGAAGTCATCCCTAAGGCACTAATGTGCCCTTCCATGAAGTCACGAAAGTTAAAGAGAGCAAAAGAGGAAATGAGAGTCAAAACGGGCTAAATTCGTCAATTAAGGGCAAAACGGTCCATTCACAAATAAAAGGAGAAAATTAACTCTAAACAAGTCAAATAAGGTGAATACAACCTAATCTAATCATTTCACAATATTCCAAGAGGTTCTAAGAACTTTGGCCAAGAATTCTCCAAAAATGCATTTTCCTGGTTTAAGCAAAAACTGACCATATCTTACTAAAACATGAATAACTCTCATTATGATTTGAATCTAAGAATGGAATAGGTACCATTGGAAATATGACTCAAAATTCTTGAGTTTAGGCTCAAGAATCACCCCATTTGGGTTAGGAATGAATGAGTTATGACCTTTTGAAGTTGGATCATCAGTGCTAAAACAAAATCTGGGAGGCTGTGTGTATAAGGGCTGTTTCGGCCAACCGAAATAGAGTTTCGGACAACCGAAAATCACAGAAACTTTTCTAAAGTCTTGTTTTTGAGGGGTGGTTACTTCGGTAGACCGAGATGAGCCATCGGTCGACCGAAATGGCCCTGAAATGTGTTTTTGGCTACTGGAATGTGCATTTTTACAAATAAAAAAGGCACCGGTGTTTCGGTCAACCGAAACACCTTGAAACCTATTGAAAGCTTCACTAAACATGGAAGATTTTCAATTAGACCTATAAAATTCATTCTACCCACATATATAGGTCAAAACTGATCTTTTTTAAGAGAAATTAAGAATGTGCACATGTCAACAAGCATAATATGAATTATTTGTACATAGAACAATGGCTCATGGCCTCATACACATCAATTACAAGAATCTCACATGCTAAACCTCCAAAGTTGGTTTAAATACATTCTGAAAGCAAAATATGATTCCACATGAGTACAAGTGTTAAATTAAACATGCTTGGCCCTTGGCCTCATTACACACATGTCCAAAGAGTGTCAAAAGGTGCACTTAAGTGCACATTACATAGGTTGGATAAAAATACAAGTTTTAACATAATAACCAAAATGAAGCATGATATGCTAACAAGTGCATTTTCCACTATAAAAAAATTACTCAAAGTAGTCAAGCAAGCCTAAGAATGTTGTGTATCCCATAATAATGCTTCTTTACTTGAAAAACATCCAGTAACTTTGGGGTGAGTAAACAAGTTTACTCGTAGAGAATGAGCTTGCATAAGTTTAACTCATTACAAGGTTTGCAATTCAATATAATTTAATTCATGCTATTAAAATGACATTGAAACTTTCAACATAGCACAATGAGATGAAATTTCACAAAGTTATCAACTTGGAAATTAAATGCGAAATCAAACCAAAGTGGATACTTGGATATTGCCCGGATTGAAACCGTACTATTGGGATCACTTTAGGGCTATTAACCCATGGGTACCTTCCTCTAGTGCATACTACAGTGTAGGGAGCTCTCTATCTCTCGTACTAGAACCAAGTCCTAGCCAAGTCATGTTCTTGATAATATCCCAAGTTTCCAATCAACGAGTTGAGCAAGAAATCATGATATGTGATAAAAACACGGTAAAGCTTCATGAATTTTATAACTAAATCATTAGATCAATAAGATAGAAATTAAGTAGACTGATCGGTTGAGTCGATTACAATTATAAATCAACCTTCGCAATAGCACGAATCATTGTAAAATAGGGCTATTGGTCGGGTAAGTCGAACCACTGGGACTGCGCTAATCTATGGCAACCTAAGTGTCTAGAGTCTTTTTAGAATGATAGGGGTGTTCATAGAGGATTTGTTGATTGTCACTTAAGCTATGAAATTAAGGTGCATAAATTAAAAGTTTGCAAGAGTTTAAGGGAGATGAAATAGAAGTAAAGAGGACTAGGGAAGTGAATCCGCCTCCATCCCTATACACATGCTAGATTAGAGCAAAATTGGGGGAAAAACAATATATGATGGTCAAGAAATATATAGCAACACATAGTTACCATATAATCAACAAGCTGTACATTAAATCTCAAGCAAGCATGATCCATCAAAGGTGAACATGTTTAGACTACCTAACTAAGGTGTAGCTTAACCACATTTACTTGAATGAAAGATTATCAAGCCCTAGATAAAATGATGAAGCACATGAAGGTAAGAAATAAGCATAGACCATCAAAGGTTTCACCTAAGCAATGATCTATCAAAGTTCTCCAACTCTATGCCATTAAAACAATTCCATGATCTCACTACCATTGTCACCATGAGAGTGCAAGCAATATGATTAAAAGAATAAACTATTTAAGATAGATAATTGATTCAACATTAATCATTTAAATACATTAAGATCC